GGTAGATGTTAGTCTTTGATGTTGTTATCGCATACCTTACTATATCGATTTGCTTATTATTAACTTAGTCTAAATATAATAAAAATATTATTATTGTTCTCAATTATACGAATTATTTCTGTGACATTGCTTCGTGTTTTTGTAGCCTATAAGATAGTAGGTAGTTGGTGGTAGCAATATTTTTAACAAACTGGATGTTTTCATATTTTTTTTTATTGATAAGTTTACAATTCTGAGACAATCATAAAGCATATAAATATAAATCACATATTTATAACCTAACATTTAAACCACAAGATTTTATCTAACGCTATCTCACGGTTAAATATTCCGCCCGCCCTTATGCAACTTCACAATAATTATTAGTACACCAGAACACGACACACGACGCACTATTCTCATACAACGTGAGCGATCGTAATCTAATAAAGTTTGCGAAATAGTAATTAATAGTAGGAACTAGAGTTGTTCTCGAAGTGAACTTTCACCTGCATAATGGAACTGTAGTGTTTTTTGTTGCACCTATACAATCAATTATATCATCTGATAATTTATGTGGTACAATTTCACGGAAATCTGGGATGTGAATGCGTAAAGCCGGGTACTCATTAGCGAGCTGTAACCGTAACCGTTGCATGCACTGTAACCAAAAAGCATAGTGTGTACGTGGTTCGCTAACCTGCTGCGAGTGAAACGCGTGCGGTTTGCAGCGAGCCGACGACGTTTACAACTGAGCTACAAGCGTACACACTAGAACCTCGTACTGTATCACGCATGTTGCGGTTATAGCTCGCTAATGAGTACCCAGCTCAACGTGATACGCTGCTACAACTGTAAAAAATTAGTTTAAAAGTAAAGTGCAAATAAAATATTCATATTTTTATACCTCCATGTCTTGATAAATATGTGAGTTTTGTGATTCGATTTTTATGAACTGCTAGAGGTGTTAACTGTAAGGAAAATTCTTGATATTCGAAATCAACATCAATCTAAATACATTTTTCAATAATCATATTAGTCAATTGAACTGTAATCCATAATTCTATCACGACTGAGCTTTGCTTTAATAGATTATTCTGCTTAAAATCGTTGTATTTTTCAGTGACTGCTTTGTGGTCCGTTACCTTAGTTGAAGTTGGTTTAGTTACTTATATAATAAGTTTTTATGACAACAAGTTTTCTGTTGACAATTTAAATAAATCAAACCCCTGTTTACGAAAACCTGGAAGTACATAAGTACACTACGACGGACTTTTGTTTGCGGACTTTTCAAAACTAGATCGCTTACAACTGCATCAAGTAACGCACATGACGGATAAACAGTACCGCGTATAAAAAGTCCCCTGAACAACCAAGGATATCGAGAGGCGGACAGCGGCTAGGACAAAAATGTCGTTGAAAAACATACAACTCATGTGACTGGGCTTGTGACTAACTTCAGTCCGCGTTGCGCGCTCGATCTGATTTAAAGAAATGGACCCAGTAAGTATTCCCTTTTAAAAAGTCTTAATTAAAACACAACTTAATCTGAAAATATTTACTTCCAAAGCATGCGCTACTCTAAATTTTCACACCCTCTATGTTCAGTGAGTCATAATAAGTACTCGGTGTAAAATTTCCCTCAATAGTGGACAACTAAAGTCCTTCGTCTGCGCAGGCTATAAAACTAACAGGTTTTCAAAAATGTTTAAATTTAATTGGGATTTTGTTATAAACCTCAAAACTTAACGTACTTACCTATTATGTAAAGGTTTTATTTAAACTTTCGTATTTCAGAACACGTGGAACTATAGCTGATTGCGTGTCCAAATATACGTTGCCTTGACAATTAACGAAATTGTGGCGTGCAAGTGTTATTTGGAGTCAACAATTTGGTTTCCGTGTCACGGTCCCGTGGACAGTACTCGGCGACCTCTGTACGCAGGCTCCGCAGCCCGATCTGGGTCACAACGACGCTACCCGAATACAGCATCATGCATCTAACCTACAATCCATATTATATAGTATGCGTTAAATGATCCGTGAATCTCGACTCACATAAGCGTTGTATGTAACATGCATCTTTGTCTTCATCCTTGTGAGTTACTGCACATTTTTTTTTATGTAAAACATATTTTTGATAGTTCAAGATGTCCTAGTTACTAAGTTTTAGCTGGTGGCGGTTTGGTTGATTCCCAAATAAGGAACTCACACCGTCATCGCCAGTAAGGTGGGCACATCCCAGAGTTCTTAGTGGGTAGGGCTCCTCCATCCCGGGCAGCCGTTGAGTTTAAGGGGTGGACGGGATGAGCGCAGAGGTTTGAGGTTTGAGGAGAGCGGCGAAGCATTTTGTCTGAGTGAAAAAAAAGGTACTATAGAATTAATTGGTTCTTTTAGGCACAAATACTTTCGCAATTTCCTGGCTTCGATCACGTGTTTACTCATTGCGCCGATTACTCAGTCACTGATTTGCTCCCTGAGCTGAATCATTTTACAAACTTATACCGGTGTGATGCGTCCGCGCTTGAAAATAAAATTTAAATCACAGGACGATTCACATTTTTTAAAACATACAACACCAAATTTAAGACTTGTAATTCCATAGAGCTATTATTATTATTATGTGCATAATGCTCAAACTGTGCTTAGCTTACATAATACTGTGTTGCAAATGTTGCAATGCAACCATTAGCCTCATATTTGAGTGAGGATAATTTTATAACAAACATTATTTAGGACCCCATTTTAATTCCGTGGATTGAACTGTTAAATAAAAATAATGTAGTAATTAACAAAACTCAAAAACACACTATTTCTCCTTCATTTATAAATGTAAGGAAAGGATACGATATCGCGATCGTACCTTTTGATTTGACGATCGTGTTGTTCTATCATACATATCGACAACGAAATAGAATAAAATAAACCATAGGTAGATAGATTTATTATTAAAGGATTGTTTGCTGATAGATAATTCAATAAAATAAATGTGTACCGAGAAAAACGAAAGAAAATTGGTTAATGAATTTAATTAAGTTTAAGGGTCTTACATACATTGAAAAACAAATAATAAAGTTTTATAAAAAGAATTGTACTTCAAAACTAAATATGTAAACACCAAGACATTTAGACATTATCAGTTTCTATGAATTCTCGGATAGATTCTTCGCATCCTCCTTTATCATGCGCACCGCTTGGGAATGAAACTCCCTTCCTGCGTATGTATTCCCCGATTGATATCATATAAGGATCTTCAAGGCAGAGTAAATAGGCAGTACTTGAGTTTGCGTTCTCCAGCTTAGAACTCATCGTTGTAATTTACATCAGGTGCGATTGTGGTCAAACGCACTCCAATATTTTATATTAAAAAGTTTCTATGGAACTATTTATTCAATTAAATATTATTCTTACAATTGGTATAGAAAATAACACTATTGTTATGTAGAGTAGGTAAATATTTACACTAAAGAGAGCTAAGCTCTACTTAGAGAACTTAAATCGGGATAGTCTGCGTTTATATCGGAATCTGATTCATATAAACATTAATTTAATTTTAAGGACATTGAATCACTTTAAATAACTTTGTTCCGCTTTGTTCTTAGCCTGTGCATGCTACTACAACGCAATCATTGCTCTAACCTTGTTTTAAGAAACAATACACCTATTAGATTTTAATGAATTCTCTAAAGAACATCCTTTAAGTAAAAACTAAAGTAGCCACTAATTAGCGTATAATTGAAGACCTCATTGTGTTTAAATGTTTACTCTTTTTAATTTAAATATTCGGAGATTTTTGCATTTTATTGATGACAGGATGTGATGCTTTCTAAAATTTTTAAAATTTACTTTCTTTCTCAGATTTTATACCATATTTTTTTATGGCTAGTTCTGTAATCGGAGCGTTCCTGCTATTCGTTTTAAGAACAAAATGGTTGCTGCCCCTTTCTTTGTAAATATTTAGATTTATTATTTATTTCTGAATTGAACTGCTTTACTAAAACATTCCTCTATTTTTATAAAGCCTGATTAGCGTTGCCATCTCTAAAAAACAGAAAACCGGACTCCTGGGTCTCACGGCACGGACGCCAAATAAAGGACTTTGCTGATTGTTAAAATTAAACACATTTATTTTATAAGAAAGTTTTAATTGGTGTTATCATTTTTTCATTTGCATATTTAGTCAAGTGTGTGCAGCTTGCTTGCGTCATAACAAAATAAGCCTAACAAAAGCCGGGCGCAGTCAAATTGGGACGGACAGATCAAAAAGCTTAACACTGTCTGGCTTTATTTCGACCGATGGCAACGCTAAGCCTGATGCATTTTAAACAATTATTTTCAGTTGCATTAGTCTTAAAAACAGTGCAAGGATTTTTCTTGTACATTTCTAATGCTGATTATGATTTCATTCGTAAACCGTTTACGAGGTTATCGAAAGTAAAAAAAAAATAAAGCTCAGCTTCAAATGGTGATCGATCATGCTCTATACTCTGAGATGTACTCTATTATAAAATCAACTCACCACCTTTCTTGAGACTCAAGAACAAGAACATGACTGACTTTAACATACTTATCTTTTTAAAGGGAGAATTTACATAGCTGAATGTGCCGCTTAAATTAAGGCGCCCGACGGGAACCAACCTCCACCTTAAGAGTATTTTTGTTTTTATATTGTTGAGTATATTATAAGTTTTCAGAGCTCCACTGGATAGGGGATTGGGTTCAGGTCTGGCACATTGAGGTAGCTGGAGAGGCATTTATCAACCACTGGCTGCCATTTACTTAGCTAAGCGAAATTAACCCTCAGGTCTTATTGAAATAAGACCTGACGGTTAATTTCGATGCTCTTGTGAATTGACGTGTTAGCTATTGCTATTATAACTCAGTTTAACTGTACAAATTGTGCAAATTAGCGTAGTTTTCAGCGATAGATGTTTTCAGAGCTAAAGCTAATAAAGGGATCACTGGCTGGCGAGTCTCTGCAACAGACTCTACCTTGATTAGCGCTTGCCTTTAGTTATGCGTATGCCTCCGGCAGCGACAGACGCGCGCGCTTTTTCGCTCAACTGTAATTATCAGAGAAGTTGATATAGCTATTATTAAGTTAAGTGAACCTAACGAGTGCTGTTGGATTTTAAACAAAATTTTCCTGAAAATAATTGAGTTTTGTTATTTTTTTGGTAAGTTATCTTTATTGTTGTGTTCGAATTCATTACAGATATCATTTTCTTTATTTATCTTATTGGAATTTCTTATCTTTGAAAGATAAATCGGTTGCAGCAAATAATTATTGGTTCGTTGTCCTAAATAATGGAAAATCATTGACAAAAATACTTATCGAAGGCTACTAAAAATAATAAATTATGTTCCTAGGAAAGCAGACAACGTATACATAAGTACGATTTACCTGTACTATTTTTTTTAAACATCTTAAAATGTGAGGAAACAAACTAAACTTTATTTCGGCAATTAAGTAGTACTTAACCTGATAAACCAAAACATAACATTTTGAGCTAAATTCATACTGTATTTATAAGCTTGAATAACTTGACTCCAACCGGTTCGAAAGTTAGGTGCAGAGGTTTAGTTAACCATAGCCTTAATGTATCATTTAGAGTACCGTACACGGGAAAACAAATCAAAACTACATTGTTTTGTTATTAATAAGACATTAAGGACCTTGTTGCTAAGAATGAATGTTATTTTCTTTCTAAGAATAACCTTGGTCTCGCGTAAGGCTAGTGCTAAGGCGTTTTCCAGGTAAACACAGAACACATCATCACGGGTCAAACTTATTCTGCTTGCCATCAAGCAAGTTGATAGACATTAAATAATAGTTATATAATAATATAAAAAAAAAGTTACAAATAAATAATAGTTTGCATGCGTAGTCTTTGTTCGTATAACGTGGCCGGATACGAAAGCTCGTCCGTTTATCTCCCCAATTATCAATTTCGACTTTGCTTTCTTTTTCTCTTTAATTTCTTTTGAACAATCCAATCACATTATGTCAAATCTAGCGTCGAAGTGTAGTTACAGAAGTAGTAATGATACTGGTTATGCTATCGATAATATCAATAATACTGTGTGCTTTTTTTTTAATGTAATTTATTTTTCAACTCATTTTCTCAAAAACGCATTTACGGAGGTTGTATACATTGTTTGAAAGTTCAAAATTGCGGGCCATACAACGGAGCGTGCGGTAAAAAGTTTTACTGCACGCTCCCATACATGACGCGATGACGCCGTGTGTATCCTTTACGTTTTTTTTTAATTCCGGTGGAACCTCCTTGGAAACGAAAGAAAAAGAGACAAAAGATGTAATTCTAATTTTCATTACCCGCACTCTTCTCCATATTCTATCCATAGAGAAGGCTTGTGTATGCCCCAGCTTTAATAGGCTGGTGATGCTGATAAATATGTTTAAGAAAGCATTAAAAGTAAGCATAATGTAGTATTATAATAGGGGTGATGACGGGGTACAGTAAACGAAATTCTATTAAGTCCGTCAGTTAAATGATCAAAAAATAATAGACACGTATTTTTTCTTTGAGCAATCAACCAAAAAATGACAAAGTTATAGCGCGTCAAAGTTTGGGAGTAGGGGCTCGTGACGTCACTTTTGTGTGAAAATTGTACTTGTTTAATTGTAAAACGTGACGTCATGCGAATTTTCAAATCAATTTATTTCTGCAATGTTTATATTATGTGAAAAAAGAAATACGTGTCCAATACTTTTTGATAATCTTCTTGATAAACGAAGAAAAAAAAATAGTCATCATCCCTATTCAAGAACGTATTAAAGAGTTGGACAGTTAGACGTGATAAAAACGTGATAGGTATCATATCGCGGTGATACCTATCACGTTTTTATCTACGGCTGCGGGGCCTGCCCCTCTAGCATGACCACCGAAACAGGATATGATAAAGCGATATATCGACATCAACTGTCCGAATACTGTCAAACTCCACAGTAGTCTGACAGTAAATGCCGATATATCGCTATAACATATCCCGTTTCGGTGGTAATGCTAGAGGGGCTGAGTGTCATATACTATATTTTGTCAGGTTCAATCATAGAAATTTCACCCGTGTGAAACCGGGGCGGGTCACGAGTAGGTATTTTTTATATTAGTGTAAATTGATTATAAAAATTAACTGCGATTAGAATACATTTATATTATTTATTACATACTCTACCTGCCCAATTTAATTTTCACATTGAACGTATCATTCGTTAATTTTATTTCACACTAGCAAACCCGGCGAACTCCGTTTCGCCACCAGATGGCTTCTTTTTATGTAACATTTCGTTTGGTGATTAAAAGAAGATTTTTTTTTTTATAATTTTTCCTGAATTTTCTTTGCTATAAACCCCACGGAGCCCGAGACCTTTCCAACGAATGCAAAACCGTGGAAATCGGTTCGTGCGTTCTGAAGTTATAGCGTCAGGAAGGAAAACCCGACTTATTTTTATATAGTAGATTATTAATTGTTTATGATTGACTGACTAGAGATTTATAAACCTGATTAAAATTGTTAAACTATTGCTTTAAATTGGTAGGTACGGTATGATATTAATAATGATACCTAACATTAAAATAGAAATCTTCAAACTTATTGTTTTACCTATGTTGCGTTACTACGTTTTGGTTTAATAAATTTTGTATCTCTAAAACGAATCCGTGTTATCTTAATATACTTACAGGCCGTCCCACGGTCATGTATGCCACGTGGAGGGAAAGTATATTAAATGTTGAAGATAGGCAATTTTACTGAAAGAAGACATCATTTTATTTTTAATTATAAGTATAGCTGCATTCACAGTTTTTTTTAAATCGCCTGCTACTACCGGGAATCTAACTTGTTGAATGCGTAACAAAAAGAACATGTATTTTATGATAACCGTCGAAAGGGTTAATCATAAGAATCATTTTTCCAATAAAACATAGCATTTTATATGAAATAAAAATTATGCAAATTAATATTTTATTTAAAATAATTGAATACAAACTACATGAAAACAGAAATGGTGCAAGATTTTTTTTTTTATTAATTTATCAAATGTTAAAATGTCCATTTACAAATTCTCAATCTTTAATAATTTCTCTGCCTGTCGATTTTAAAGTTAAGTTAACTTTGCGTGGTGAATGTTTAAAATAAAACGTCTAAGGTCATTTGATAACTCCTGCCACAGTATCGTACCGGTTCTTGTAAACTAAATCTTTTACATAACCCCACAAAAAAGCCAGTCGCATTGTAATTGTGACCTCGCAAAGAAATGCATACATACAAGTACCTACTACAGTTGCTTTAATATTATTTTTTCGCGAACTTATAATAAGGAAATCTTGTATTATTTAGTGAACAGGTACTAGTTAGTAAATAATTTGAAATTATAATGTTAGTTGTTGGAAGCACGAAAAAGTCAGAGAAAATTTTCCTCAAGAAAAAATTGATTTTTTCGTTACATTTAAAATGCTATGTTATTTAAGAAAAAATAATCCTTATGATTAACCCTTTCCACGGTTATCATAAAATACGTCATGTGTTTTTTTCACATTTCACGAGATTGATTCCTGGTTGATCCAGGCGATTTTATAAAAATCTGAGAATGCAGTTCTACTTATTATTAAACATTAAATGATGTCTTCTTTCAATAAAATATCCTTTTTACCCGGCTGCGCAATGCAAGAGCGCGAAGCGCGACGCGCAGACAGGGTTATGTGTTTAACAGTCTATATATGTATGTTTGTTCCTTTGTGGCACACTAGAGACCAAACGCCTGGACCGATTTTGATGATTCATACATCAATCGATTCGTCTCAATCATGGGAGTGCTACTAAAGTTATATATGATAGTAATCAAAATTCAATATGGGCAAAATTAGGCGCCATATTGTGACGAAGTAAAAAAAATAAGTTGACAAAATATGTCAAGTGGGGTATCACTGTCTAGATAATCAAAAATCATATTTAGGTTCCTAATATGATTGTTTAGGATCTACAACGCTTTAAAGTTGTATATTAACCACTTACGCTTTTAATTTCAATCATACGTTTGTATAGATCTTTGTTACTCTTTCACCTAAAAAATACTGAATGGATTTTAATGAAACTTAACAGTAATATAGCTCATATACGATAATTACATATATATAATAATTTATGTAGTTATTGAGTGAATTGGCCAATATAGAACTATATATAATTCTTCTGTGAGTGTGTATGTCACTGAACTTCTCTTAAACGACTGGACCGATTTTGATGAAATTTTTTGTGTGTGTTCAAGGGGATCTGAGAATGGTTTAGATTCACATTTTTTTTATGGCGGTACGAAGTTCGCTGGGACAGCTAGTAGAACTATAAATTGATAATAAATGAGATTGCTATGGTGCTCTACCTAACGTTATTAAAATTTTATTATGCGCCTTTAGTTTAATCAAATATTATAAACTTTGCTTTGGTGATTGCATAATTATTTAATTTAGTGATCTAAGGCAGTTGCCACCATTGTTCAAAACAACAGACGGGAATTACTGCTTTCTTCAACCTGCGACATAAACGTCATTGATTGGTATTGTATATAGGGTGATTAAAAATGGCATCTACATATTGGGTTTCTGTGAATTATGTAGGTATATCAAATTATGAGATTAGGGACTGACACTGAATTTGTGTAAGTATATCACAATCTTAGACGTCCGGCATTGACATGACAATGCAGCCACTGCCAATTTTAAATAGTCGACGAATAAAAGTAAATGAATTTTATATTTACTGCTAAACTATTAAAAAAAGTATAAACAAAAGATGTCTTTTTGAGTAAGTGCTAGTTTACTATAAAATTTACATACATTAGAGATATTTATGTAACGACTTGATTTAACTTCACACATTTTTGCGAAAATTGAGGCCCATCTGTAGCCTTAACCCCGCTGGTAGTCTTTATATGTTTTAATAAATCCATCTTTTAGACCGACGCAAGGTACTTAATAATTCCCGCGATATTAATTCCCTTACTGAAGTAACAAGACTACGGTATATACCGTCTTAAAATACTAACTAACTAAAAAGTGTGAAATAAAAAAGGTAAATTTAAAAAATCAAAAAACCCGACTGCTTAATTATACTTGAAATAAAAACTGAAAAGAAAAAAACAAGTCCAGTAGTCTATAAT